GTGGGATTAAATTATGGGGAATCAAATTCAAAATGGGAATTGACACAGTTACTTTTTGCTGATGATACTGTGCTTATGGGAGATTCTAAAGAAAAATTGCAAAGGTTAGTGGATGAGTTTGAGAATGTGTGTAAAGGTAGAAAGTTGAAAGTGAACATAGAAAAGAGTAAGGTGATGAGGGTATCAAATGATTTAGATAAAGAAAAATTGGATATCAAATTGGGGAGGAGGAGTATGGAAGAAGTGAATGTTTTCAGATACTTGGGAGTTGACGTGTCGGCGGATGGATTTATGAAGGATGAGGTTAATCATAGAATTGATGAGGGAAAAAAGGTGAGTGGTGCGTTGAGGTATATGTGGAGTCAAAAAACGTTATCTATGGAGGCAAAGAAGGGAATGTATGAAAGTATAGTAGTACCAACACTCTTATATGGATGTGAAGCTTGGGTGGTAAATGCAGCAGCGAGGAGACGGTTGGAGGCAGTGGATATGTCCTGTCTAAGGGCAATGTGTGGTGTAAATATTATGCAGAAAATTCGGAGTGTGGAAATTAGGAGAAGGTGTGGAGTTAATAAAAGCATTAGTCAGAGGGCAGAAGAGGGGTTGTTGAGGTGGTTTGGTCATTTAGAGAGAATGGATCATAGTAGAATGACATGGAAATCATATAAATCTATAGGGGAAGGAAAGAGGGGTAGGGGTTGTCCTCGAAAGGGTTGGAAAGAGGGGGTAAAGGAGGTTTTGTGGGTGAGGGGCTTGGACTTCCAGCAAGCGTGCATGAGCGTGTTAGATAGGAGTGAATGGAGACGAATGATACTTGGGACCTGACGATCTGTTGGAGTGTGAGCAGGGTAATATTTAGTGAAGGGATTCAGGGAAACCGGTTATTTTCATATAGTCGGACTTGAGTCCTGGAAATGGGAAGTACAATGCCTGCACTTTAAAGGAGGGGTTTGGGATATTGGCAGTTTGGAGGGATATGTTGTGTATCTCTATACGTATATGCTTCTAAACTGTTATATTCTGAGCACCTCTGCAAAAGCAGTGATAATGTGTGAGTGTGGTGAAGGTGTTGAATGATGATGAAAGTATTTTCTTTTTGGGGATTTTCTTTCTTTTTTTGGGTCACCCTGCCTCGGTGGGAGACGACCGACTTGTTGAAAAAAAAAAAAAAAAATTATTTTTCTTGTTTCCTCCCTATCTTTCACCCCTGTATGAACATCAGTGCTTCCACCAGGTTTTGCTGGTAGTGTGTCAACATTATTTCCTGAGGCATCATCCCCTTTTGATCCATCTCCAGCAGTATCTATTTTGAACCTCTGTGGACTGAATAACATTGTCTTCACTGTCCTCCAGGACAACACTAGTACCCTCATGAGCACTGTCTTCCAGGACATCACTAGAACCCTCTGGAGCACTTTCCTCCAGGACAACACTGACACCCTCAGGAGCACTGTCCAAGACAGCCCCGTCCCTACCACCCATCGTACTTGTATAACCTGTTTACCTAATTGAGTTTACTTGGGTGAACAGACAGTGAAAGATTAATTATCAGTTCAGAGGGAGGGAATATGGAGGAAATGGGTCTGTAAAATACAAGGTGAACCATAGAATAAACAAAGGTTACATGGTAAGTGGTGTGTTGTACTTGTGGAAAGAAAGAAGTCTTTCTGTGGAGGCAAAATGGGATAGTGTACCAGAATATAGTGATGCCAACACTTTTATATGGGTTTGAGGCATGGGCTTTAAACACTGCAGCAAGGAGGAGGTTAGAGGCAGAGGGGATGTCATGTTTCAGAGTGATGTGTAGAGTGAATATTATGCAGAGAATTTGGAACGTAGATATTAGAAGGTGTGGAGTTACAGTGGGTATAATTCAGAGGACTGAGGAAAGATTGTTGAGGTGGCTTGAACATTTAGAGGATGGAGCAGAATAGGATGACCAAGAGGGTGTAGAAGGCCACAGGTGAAAAGGAGGGGCAGGGGTCATCCCAGAAGGCTTTCAAGTTATATAGGCTTGAGCATCCAGTGGACATGTGTGAGCATGCTAAATAGGAGTGAATGGAGACAAGTTGTTTTTAATGGATGTGCTGTTTGAGTGTGAACAAGGTAACATTTATGAAGGAATTAGGGAAGCCAGTTAGCTGTACCTGAGTCCTAGAGGTGGGATGGGCAGTGCTTGCACTGGAAAGGAGGAGTAGGGATGTTGTGGTTGGAGGGTAATCTAATTGTGGTGTCAGCATACTTCTGGAAAAATGGCAGTTGAATGAAGGATGAAGAATATTTCCTTCTCTGGGTCATCCTGTCTTGGCAGGAGGTTTATATAAACTGACATATGGTAGAATATATATGTGTATACCAGGAAAAGTGTACGGTAAGGTTATAATTGAAAGAATTAGAGGTAAGGCAGAATGTAGGATTGCGGATGAGCAAGGAGGTTTCAGAGTGGGTAGGGGATGTGTAGATCAAGTGTTTACATTGAAGCATATATGTGAACAGTATTTAGATAAAGGTAGGGAAGGTTTTATTGCATTTATGGATTTAAAAAGGGCATATGATAGAGTGGATAGGGGAGCAATGTGGCAGATGTTGCAAGTACATATATGGAATAGGTGGTAAGTTACTAAATGCTGTAAAGAGTTTTTATGAGGATAGTGAGGCTCAGGTTAGGGTGTGTAGAAGAGAGGGAGACTACTTCCCGGTAAAAGTAGGTCTTAGACAGGGATGTGTAATGTCACCATGGTTGTTTAATATATTTATAGATGGGGTTGTAAAAGAAGTAAATGCTAGGGTGTTCAGGAGAGGGGTGGGATTAAATTATGGGGAATTAAATACAAAATGGGAATTGACACAGTTGCTTTTTGCTGATGATACTGTGCTTATGGGAGATTCTAAAGAAAAATTGCAAAGGTTAGTGGATGATTTTGGGAGTGTGTGTAAAGGTAGAAAGTTGAAAGTGAACATAGAAAAGCGTAATGTGATGAGGGTATCAAATGATTTAGATAAAGAAAAATTGGATATCAAATTGGGGAGGAGGAGTATGGAAGAAGTGAATGTTTTCAGATACAGTGGACCCTTGACCAACGATATTCATCCGTTCCTGAGAGCTCATCGTTAGTCGAAATTATCGTTAGTCAAGTTAATTTTCCCCATAAGAAATAATGGAAATCAAATTAATCCATTCCTGACACCCCAAAGTATTAAAAAAAAAAAAATTACCACATGAAATATTAATTTTAATACACACAAACTGAAGAAGACATGTACAATTACATGACACTTACCTTTATTGAAGATCTGGTGATGATTGATAGGATGGGAGGAGGGAAGAGTGTGGATGGTGTTAATGTTTAGAAGGGGAATCCCCTTCCATTAGGACTTGAGGTGTCAAGTCCTTTTCCAGGGTTACTTCCCTTCTTCTTTTAATGCCACTAGAACCAGCTTGAGAGTCACTGGACCTCTGTCGCACAACATATCTGTCCATAGAGCTCTGTACCTCCCGTTCCTTTACGATTTGTCTAAAATGGGCCACAACATTGTCATTGTAACAGTCACCAGCATGACTTGCAATAGCTGTGTTAGGGTGATTTTCATCCATAAAGGTTTGCAGTTCAACCCACTTTGCACACATTTCCTTAATCTTTGAAGTAGGCACAACGGATTCCACAACTGGCATAGGCTTCTCAGGGTTAGCCCCAAACCCTTCAAAATCTTTCTTAATTTCCATACTAATTCTCAGCCTTTTTATCACAGGGTTGGCACTAGAAGCTTTCTTGGGGCCCATGGTGACTTATTTTGCAGGTGCAATCACTAAAAACGCTGTGATAATATGAAATGTTCCGATTGTATGTTTGGATGCGATGGCGGTGGCTGGCTTGTAAACACTGCGCAGGCCACACGTGGACACGTCTCGAACGGAACGAATCGTGTTGGTCGAGTTTTTTAGCGCTAGTTGAGGCAAAATTTTTGCGTTAAAATGTATTGCTATTCAGATTTAACGTTATATGATGCCATCGTTTGTCGAGGGTCCACTGTACTTGGGAGTTGACGTGTCGGCGGATGGATTCATGAAGGATGTGGTTAATCATAGAATTGATGAGGGAAAAAAGGTGAGTGGTGCGTTGAGGTATATGTGGAGACAAAAAACGTTATTTATGGAGGCAAAGAAGGGAATGTATGAAAGTACATGTATAGCAGTACCAACACTCTTATATGGGTGTGAAGCTTGGGTTGTGAATGCAGCAGCGAGGAGGCGGTTGGAGGCAGTGGAGATGTCCTGTCTAAGGGCAATGTGTGGTGTAAATATTATGCAGAAAATTCGGAGTGTGGAAATTAGGAGAAGGTGTGGAGTTAATAAAAGTATTAGTCAGAGGGATGAAAGGGGTTGCTGAGGTGGTTTGGTCATTTAGAGAGAATGGATCAAAGTAGAATGACATGGAGAGCGTATAAATCTGTAGGGGAAGGAAGGCGGGGTAGGGATCATCCTCGAAAAGGTTGGAAGGAAGGGGTAAGGGAGGTTTTGTGGGTGAGGGGCTTAGACTTCCAGCAGGCGTGCATGAGCGTGTTCGATAGGAGTGAATGGAGACGAATGGTATTTGGGACCTGATGATCTGTTGGAGTGTGAGCAGGGTAATATTTAGTGAAGGGATTCAGGGAAACCGGTTATTTTTATATAGTCGGACTTGAGTCCTGGAAATGGGAAGTACAATGCCTCCACTCTAAAGGAGGGGTTCGGGATATTAGCAGTTTGGCGGGATATGTTGTGTATCTTTATACATATATGCTTCTAAACTGTTGTGTTTTGAGCACCTCTGCAGAAACAGTGATTATGTGTGAGTGAGGTGAAAGTGTTGAATGATGATGAAAGTATTTTCTTTTTGGGGATTTTCTTTCTTTTTGGGTTACCCTGCCTCGGTGGGAGACGGCCGACTTGTTAAAAATAATAATAATAATAATATAGGCATTCTCTTTAATGCTTTGAATAAATTTGATTTATGAATAAATTTTGTACTTTTTATTATGTATCTTATGAAATGTCTTTTAAAATACTGTAAACTGCTTTATATTTCAATACAAATGAGCACGTCTTTGCAGGGACAGAGTCCTCTTCACTGGGCTGCACAACAAGGACATCTAGGTGCTGTTAATACATTACTTGACTTTCATGCATACCCAAACTACACCCAGACAACAGATGACAGGTGAAAAACTCCATCAGATAGGACTTGATATGATAATGCATTGTATATATATTGAGTAGTCCAAGGTGCTATTGTAGAAATGACTGCTAGGGACCTGCTGCTTTGTACTAGTAGTGGTAATGATTTTTTAGGTGTACTGTTTGTAAGTGTGGATGTTTGTAATGTAGTAAAGTTGTAAAATAAAGTAAATTAGTGTATTTTCCATGCCACAAAGTATTGCTGGACCTGCTAATCCCAGAACTGTAATTGAAGCCCCCTGTCCATCTTTGTTTATATATTTGCAGTCATTTATTACTAATTGAATAGAGTTATAAGTAATAATATGTTTAGGTACACCTTTTAGACTAAAATCATCCATTTGTAAGTTCTGTGGGTGAGTTGTTGAAGCGTTGGGTCTTCTGTATGTATGGACCATGACTAGAGTCCCTGTCCATTTTTCTGATAATTCATAATAATACTATGTCCAGGTACACACCCCTAGACTGTGCATATGTTGCTGAGCAGCTGGAGGTTGCACAGGTTTTGATGGAAGCTGGAGGATTGTCAGTCACAAGGATTATGGAGTTTGCAGCCACAAAGATTCAAGCTGTAGTGCGCAGCTATTTAACTCGCAAACGTTACCGTCTGAAGAAATCCGGTAAGGATAATAGAAATAAAGGGATATATTTTTTTTGTTTTAGACTGTAAAAATATTAGTACAGCGGAACCTTGGTTTTCGTTTTTAATTCATTCCAGAGAGTCTGACAAAAACCACAATCGACAATAACTAAAGCAATATCTCCCATAAGAAATAATGTAAATCCAATTAATCCGTTCCAGACACCCAAAAATATTAACAAAAAAATTTTTTATAGAGAATAACTGTAGTTTTACATACAGAAAACAATGAGAAATAAATAAAAAGCACTAATTTTAATGGATAAAGGAACATTTAACCCTTTGACTGTCGCGGCCGTATATATACGTTTTACGAGGTACCGTTTTTGACGTATATATACAGTACTCGGATATATTCACAGACACGCACATGCATATATATATACATACATCTAGTAGGTAAAATGAAAGGGGGTAAGGCAGCCGGGATTGATGGGATAAAGATAGAAATGTTAAAAGCAGGTGGGGATATAGTTTTGGAGTGGTTGGTGCAATTATTTAATAAATGTATGGAAGAGGGTAAGGTACCTAGGGATTGGCAGAGAGCATGCATAGTTCCTTTGTATAAAGGCAAAGGGGATAAAAGAGAGTGCAAAAATTATAGGGGGATAAGTCTGTTGAGTATACCTGGTAAAGTGTATGGTAGAGTTATAATTGAAAGAATTAAGAGTAAGACGGAGAATAGGATAGCAGATGAACAAGGAGGCTTTAGGAAAGGTAGGGGGTGTGTGGACCAGGTGTTTACAGTGAAACATATAAGTGAACAGTATTTAGATAAGGCTAAAGAGGTCTTTGTGGCATTTATGGATTTGGAAAAGGCGTATGACAGGGTGGATAGGGGGGCAATGTGGCAGATGTTGCAAGTGTATGGTGTAGGAGGTAGGTTACTGAAAGCAGTGAAGAGTTTTTACGAGGATAGTGAGGCTCAAGTTAGAGTATGTAGGAAAGAGGGAAATTTTTTCCCAGTAAAAGTAGGCCTTAGACAAGGATGTGTGATGTCTCCGTGGTTGTTTAATATATTTATAGATGGGGTTGTAAGAGAAGTAAATGCGAGGGTCTTGGCAAGAGGCGTGGAGTTAAAAGATAAAGAATCACACACAAAGTGGGAGTTGTCACAGCTGCTCTTTGGTGATGACACTGTGCTCTTGGGAGATTCTGAAGAGAAGTTGCAGAGATTGGTGGATGAATTTGGTAGGGTATGCAAAAGAAGAAAATTAAAAGTGAATACAGGAAAGAGTAAGGTGATGAGGATAACAAAAAGATTAGGTGATGAAAGATTGGATATCAGATTGGAGGGAGAGAGTATGGAGGAGGTGAATGTATTCGGATATTTGGGAGTGGACGTGTCAGCGGATGGGTCTATGAAAGATGAGGTGAATCATAGAATTGATGAGGGGAAAAGGGTGAATGGTGCACTTAGGAGTCTGTGGAGACAAAGAACTTTGTCCTTGGAGGCAAAGAGGGGAATGTATGAGAGTATAGTTTTACCAACGCTCTTATATGGGTGTGAAGCATGGGTGATGAATGTTGCAGCGAGGAGAAGGCTGGAGGCAGTGGAGATGTCATGTCTGAGGGCAATGTGTGGTGTGAATATAATGCAGAGAATTCGTAGTTTGGAAGTTAGGAGGAGGTGCGGGATTACCAAAACTGTTGTCCAGAGAGCTGAGGAAGGGTTGTTGAGGTGGTTTGGACATGTAGAGAGAATGGAGCGAAACAGAATGACTTCAAGAGTGTATCAGTCTGTAGTGGAAGGAAGGCGGGGTAGGGGTCAGCCTAAGAAAGGTTGGAGGGAGGGCGTAAAGGAGGTTTTGTGTGCGAGGGGCTTGGACTTCCAGCAGGCATGCATGAGCGTGTTTGATAGGAGTGAATGGAGACAAATGGTTTTTAATACTTAACGTGCTGTTGGAGTGTGAGCAAAGTAACATTTATGAAGGGGTTCAGGGAAACCGGCAGGCCGGACTTGAGTCCTGGAGATGGGAAGTACAGTGCCTGCACTCTGAAGGAGGGGTGTTAATGTTGCAGTTTAAAAACTGTAGTGTAAAGCACCCTTCTGGCAAGACAGTGATGGAGTGAATGATGGTGAAAGTTTTTCCTTTTCAGGCCACCCTGCCTTGGTGGGAATCGGCCAGTGTGATAATAAAAAAAATATACTCATAACTTCTAGCGGCTTCAAATCAAGAAGGAGAAAGCTGGTAGGCCCATATGTGAGAGAATGGGTCTGTGTGGTCAGTGTGCACCACATAAAAAAAATCCTGGAGCACGCAGTGCATAATGAGAAAAAAAAAACTCCGACCGTTTTTTTTTTAATTAAAATGCCGAATTTGTGGTCTATTTTCGTATAGTATTTATGGTTGTATTCTCGTTTTCTTGGTCTCATTTGATAGAATGGAAAACTTATTATAGGAAAAGAGATGATTTTGATTGATTTTACTATAAAAAAAAACCTGGAATGGAGCTCAAAGTAGGGAAAATGTTTGATTTTTGCCAATGTTCAAAAGTAAGCTAATGACATCATTGTCCAATATATGTCCAACTAGCCATTCTGATATACAGTCATGAATGGGTTGATGTTATTTATACAATTATTACAGTATTGGAGTAGTCTGCATAATAGTAAATTTTCTATTTTTTTGTTTGAATAAAAATTCAAAATAGAAAGCAAGAGTAATATCAGAGGGGCCTGGAGACTTGACTGATGAACAAAGAAAATGTTATTTTAGAGCCAGGAATGTCTGCATTGTTCATTCTGGACCTTATTTTGAAATTGTCATATTTTTTAATTTTCGTGAAATTGGCCAAATTGCAAATTTCTGACCACGTTATTGGGTAGTTGAAATTGGTAAATGGGCAGTTTCTTGTACTCAATCGATAAAAAAAATGGAGTTCTAAAGAAATAGCTATGAGTTTGGTCGACTGAAACAAAAGAATTAGCCGAAAATAGGGCTCAAAGTGGGCGAAATCGCCGATTTGTAAATATCGCCAAGGTCGCTAACTTCGCAAGAGCATAATTCCATCAGTTTTCCATCAATTTTTTTTTTTGTGTGTGTCATTACAATCGGGAAAAGATTCTCTATCATTTCATAAGAAAAAATAATTTTTTTTTTTAAATTTTGCGACACCAGGAGACACCTCAGGATTGGGGGTTGCGACAGTCAAGGAGTTAAATTAGTTTTACCTTTATTGATGCTTGTTGGCATATGGAAGATGGTGAGGAGGGGAGAGGGAGGAGAGTTTATTGTTTGGAAGAGGAATATCCTTCCATAAGGACTTCAGGTATCAAGTCCCTACCCGGGGTTACTTCCCTTCTTTGTCTTTTACTAGCACTAGGACCAGCTTGAGAGTCACTGTACCCCTGTTGCACAAAAAATCTGTCCAGAGAGGTCTGTTTCTGGCATCTCTTTAAGATTTGCCTAAAATGGGGCACAGCATTGTTGTTGATGAGGACTTCATGTACATCCTGGCAAGATCGACCACACATATGCCACTTTCGTACTTTTCTACAAGTTCTTTATTGAATTCTAGCATGTTTCTCACCTTCTTTATCAAAGGGCTGACACTCAGAACTTTCTTTGGCTCCATGGTGGCTTATTTAGCAGTCGCACTCAATAAACAAGCACAAAAAACAATCGATTATTACGAAATGTTTCATATGAATGTGCAGGGTAATGTTCACTCGACAAGAAACAAAGCCAGACTGACTCATAATGCATGTGTGGGATGCTTTGTGTGGGCGCGGGCGCGCGGACACGTTCAGTACGGCAGATGAAAACCAAGGTGATGAATGAAAACTTGGACAATATTTTGACAAAAAAAAAGTCGTCGAAAACCAAATTTGATGAAAACCAAGGTTCCACTGTATTATAAAATATTGTTATAATCAACACTCTGTTTTGAGTTTATTTTTGCACTCTGTGACCCCTGTGAGTTTAGCACTTCCCTATAATATATATCTAAATACTGTAAGCTGTAAGTAAGCTAGTAATGGAGATTTTACCTGTACCTCAAATAAGATCATGATTGTTGTGGAAGACAATAGTACATAGCAGTGTAATAAAATTAAATTAAATACAGTTAATATTCTATCATCTGAGAAAAAGGTTCACCAAATTTTCACAAAATTTCTTTTAATACACTAAGGTAGAGTGACCAAAAAAAAAAAAAAAAGGAAACACACTGAATGAGGGAGTGTTTCCCCTTTCCTTAGGCCACCCAACCTTGTTGGGAGACAGACATTGTGTTAAAAAAAGGTTTCGCACTAGATAATTGTGTCATTTTATGGTTCCTTTCTTTTGAATTTTTTTCATCATTTTCTGGTTACGTGCTGAATCAAATAAGACTGCCACATGTTACAGGAAGCAAAATACAGGAGGGCACCGTATATATGTAAAGTTTTCAGTGGTCCACATTTTCACTAGCTTTCAATTGAGCCATTGTTCCACCTGCCGGTGACAATCACTGGTCTACCAGGAGGATATACCAGGGATCAACGCCTCCATGGCCCGGTCCATGACCAGGCCTCCCAGTGGATCAGGACCTGTTCAACCAGGCTGTTACTGTTGGCCACACATAGTCCAACATATGAACTACAGCCCAGCTGATCCGGCACTGACGTTAGGTATCTGTCCAACTCGCTCTTGAAGACAACCAGGGGTCTATTGGAATTCTCCTTATGGCTGGTGGGAAGCTGTTGAACAGTCTTGGGCCACGGACACTTATTGTGTTTTCTCTCAGAGGTCATGTAGTATTAATACAATACTGAAATTCAAACAACAAAACACAGAGTTTAAGGAGTTTTTAAAAAATTCTATGGTTGATTTTATTTTATTTTTATCTGCCTTGGTGCTAGTAAACAACTTTTAATTCAAAGAACTGAAGCTAACTTCCCTTTCCTTGAAATGAATCAAATCAGATTGCTTCCCTATGGGTTTAGCACCTTTCCCAGGAATGTAATCATATTGTAAAAAATATTATCTGCACTAATCATTAAAATGACCATACTGCATTACCTTCAATAAAATATTGCTGCACTAGTGTTAATATTAAAACTCATTATCAGAATCTGAGAAAACAGCATACAGTAGGGCATGTTACGTTTCAGGCTACTGCTGTAAAGTGGAATGCCCTTTTTTTTCCACTTATAATGCATATAAATACTAGATAACAAGTTTACACTAACATATATTAAGTTAGCAATAGAACTAAGCATTAAAAAAAATAAAAAAGTAAAATATACATATAGTACACTCATTACTTACCTTAAAATATTTGTAGTCTTAATGTAGGGTGAGATGAGTAGTATTTATTGTAAGAAATCAGGTGTTGTAGGTATGGTAGCCAGCCAGGCCACTCCACCCCATTCACTTAACATTTAAAGTGTCCCAGAGCGATAAAATGCATATACAATCCACTCATTACTTACCTTAAAATATTTCTAGTCTTAATGTAGGGTGAGAGGTGAATAAATGAGATAAAACAAATAAACGAGAGAGAGAATGAGTAAATGAGAGAGAGGACAGACACGCGGAGGTTGTATTATACCATAATACAAACACTTTAGATTTCCACTACTCAAGTCCAGCTATATAAAAATAACCAGTTTCCCTGAATTTTCTTTTTAGTAAGCTATACAGGAAAAGGGGTTACTAGCCCATTGTTCCCAGCATTTTAGTTGACTTTTACAACACACATGGCTTATGGAGGAAAGATTCTTATTCCACTTATTCCTGCACTTTAAAGGAGGGGTTTGGGATACTGGCAGTTTGGAGGGATATGTTATATATCTTTATACGTATATGCTTCTAAACTGTTGTATCTGGGCGCCTCTGCAAAGACGCTGATTATGTATGAGTGAGGTAAAAGTGTTGAATGATGATGAAAGTATTTTCTTCTTGGGGATTTTCTTTTTTGGGTCACCCTGCCTTGGTGGGAGACAGCCGACTTGTTGAAAAAAAAAAAAACTTCACATCGTGTACAATGTAAAGTGGTTGTATTATTCTCTCTCTCATTAATAATAGTAATAATAATACAGCAATAATAATAATAAATAGAATATTGTTTAGCTTCCAACACATGCTTTTTCTCTCTCGTTACCACCAGTAATATTATTATATTATTGTGTACATATTTTCTTTGGTGTTGAACTAGAGAAAACGTTATTCTTTCCGACACTCCGACAACTAGAAAAACATTTCATATTTATGTTAATTTATTCTACTGTGGGGTGCATTCATCATGTCCATGTGTTACGTAGCATGTTTATTACATAATTTTGAAAAAAATATCATAGATGTATTATTGATAATGTGTGTATATTAACGTAATATACGACATTTAATGTGCCTCAGAGTGATTATTATTGTGTATTATTATTATTATCATTATTAATATGGCATCCTCAAGACTAATAAGACACTCTTAGTGGTTTTAATGTGTACCTGCATGCCAACAGTGTGTAAGTTTATTTAAGTACAGGTACACATAAGTATGCAATAATTATCAGAGTATGTACACATATATAAAACATGAAATAATTTAAAAAAAACTCAAAATTTTGGAAGGTTTCCAGACATAATGGAGAGACACAGTGCTCGTGTAGAATGGAAACAAACCAGGTGGGATGCGGTGACCATATTAGAAAGTCAGGTGGAGGGAGCCATATAGCGAGTTTTGGTCATAATTTGAAATATCCGTATAAGCAGAATGCCGTAAAGCGAAACACCGTAAAGCAGGGCCCTACTCTACTGAGATTGGTAACTCTATAAAGATTATATATAAAAAAGTAATCAGTTTGAAATTTAGAACTACGTACAGGCCCATTCCATTAAATGTTACTCTAATGGATTTAATACTCTAATTCCATAATTTAAATTTGCTGAAGTGTTGTGCAGCAGAAAAGAGTAAGCAACACCACATCCAAACTCCAGGTTAGTGAACGTATCAATTCCTTGATGTTTTGCCTGCTTATGAGAATGTATTGATACTGTCTTCTGCATCTGTAAGCTGGGCTTAAGAACCCATAACAAAGTATGTCAACTTGAGCTTCAGTGCTCCGATCTCCCCCATACCTGCATATTTCTCCAGTGTTTGAATTTGGTACTTATTCTCTTCTACCGTTTAATGCCTCATATACTGTATGTAATATCACCTATTTGTACAGCAAACAATAATAAAACTCTACGACTAATACAATACATGTAATATAGTATTAGGGTACAGCACTCCAGAAATCATCCCATATGCATATATTCCTACTTTTTTATTAACCCTTAAACGGTCCAAACATATATATACGTTCACACGCGTAGCGCCCAAAACGTATATATATGTTTTCTTTGTCATTCATTCAACATTGCCACAATAAGCATGAGTCACCTAGACATGAGAGAATGGGTGTGTGCACTCACTGTGTTCCATATTAAAATAATTGGGGATGCCTGGGTACTATATGCTCTTTTTTCCTTATAAAAGAAAAGATTTCTTTTTTCCTCAAAAAATTTGGGGCGCTACGCGAGTGAACGTATATATACGTTTGGACCTTTTAAGGGTTAACACATCTGCCATTTCCCACTGAGACAGGGTGACCCAAAAAAGTAGAAACACTTTTATCATCACTGACTTCATCACTGTCTTGTCAGAGGCATGCCTGCACTACAGTTCAATAACTGCAACATATATCCATTGTACTTCCCACCTCCAGGACTCAAGTCTAGCTAACTGGTTTCCCTGAATCCCTTCATAAATGTTACACTGCTCACACTCCAATAGCACATCAAGTATTCTTACATGTATGTACAGTATGGAACATAATTGTTGTGGGGGTTCGGTTGATGGATTTGGAGAACACACACACACGATGGATGGCTTGGTAACGTATATTAATGGTAAATAAGGGAGAGCACCAGGCCTAACCTGTTTGTCTACTATGCCTCGCTTTCAACTACTGACTCACCAGTGCCTGGAGGGCATGGCATTCAAAGAGCTCGTGACATCACAGCAGTGACTCACTAATGGTCAATGATTCACACAGGGAGGCGGTGAATTGTAATGGTTATAACTGAATTACTACAGTACTACTGACATAATGAACAATGGCTCAGTTGGAAGCCAATGAAAACATGGAATACTGAGAAGGCATTGTATATGCAGTGCCCTCCTGTAATCAGTCACTAGATAGCAGAATATTATTATTATTATTATTATTATTATTATTATTATTATTTTTTTTTTTTTTTTTTCAACAAGTCGGCCATGGGGAAGTGGAAAAAACTTCCTCCATAAGCCATGCACGTTGTAAGAGGCGACTAAGATGCCAAGAGCAAGGGGCTGGCTAGTAACCCCTTCTCCTGTATAAATTACTAAATATAAAAAGAACTTTCGTTTTTGTTTTTAGGTCACCTGCCTTGGTGGGATATGGCCGGTGTGTTAAAAAAAGTTAGGGATGTGTTAAAAAACCTGTAGGGGGTCATGCAGTGCAGCTTAAGGAATGGCAGGCAGTTGGGTTTGATCAAAGGAGCAGGGAGGGGGGGTAGCTCAAATTAGTTGGATTAAGAGTACTTCACCAGCATCCAGGCACCGGCCTTAAAAGTTCGGATAGTCGACGATAACTGCATTTCATAAATTTGTAATATTTCAGGCACAAACGTATCTGATAATGGAAATACAAGAAATTCTTCCAATTCACTGGTGATGGAGATTAAGCAGACACCTTCTACAAAACCTATAGCAATAGCAGAAAAAGCCAGTTTATGCCATCTAAAAGGCTCTTCTCTACTGAACAGTGACACTAAGGATGCACAAGGAGTCTTAGAAAAGCAAGAGGTATAAGCAGTGAGTGAATATTTGACAGTCTTGTTATAGTGTTCATTAATAAATTTTTGTTGCCTTTACAGGAGGGCCCCATATATACAGCACTTTCTTTTCAGTGTTCCATGTTTTCACTAGCTTCAAATTGAGCCATTGTTCGTTATGTTTCACCCACCGGCGGGTGGAACAATGGCTCAATTAAAAGCCAAGGAAAACATGGAACACTGAAAAGAGGTACTGTATACACGAGGCCTTCTTGCAGTGTATTATAGTTGTATTGATAGAATTTGTAAATGTATTTCTTATAAATTAATATATAAGTTTATTTTGACAGATATCATTGGCAGGAAAAGAAACAAAGACAAGTTCACTCATGCACCACCACCTTCGGGGCACACTTTCCGACTCTAGTCCATACAATTCTGTATCTGGTCAACGGCGTTCAAAAGTCCTGGCAAGCAGTATTATGAGAGGTGCTCGTAAGAAGACCTTACGTAATTTAGAGCTCCCAGGGCTGAGCGAGCTAGGCTTAAACCAGATGGAGCCAAAAGAATTACCTCCAGGTATGTCTCAGTTACTCATGGACCCTTACATTTGAGAGATAAGCTTTATAACTTCTCATATTGGTGTTTTTCTTTTTATATTTTGTTCGTTCACAAGAGTACATGAGTCTGTAATTAGGGATATGGCAAGGCTGCCTCTCCTTTTATACTTACCTGCTTCTTAAAAGCAAACCAGGTGGGTATAGGGAAGGGCCTTACCAGTCCTTAGGAAAATTGGCAAAAATCAAATATTTCCACTACTTTGAACCCCATTTCAAGCTGCTTCCAGTTCTGAAACAAACCAGAATCATCTCCATTTCAGTAATATATCTTTCATTCTATCAAATGATACAAAGAAACAGACAATAAAGCTATAAAAGCCATCCTAGAAAATACCTCATACAGTGGACCCTCGACCAACGATGGCATCGATTAACAATAAATCCGACTAGCGATACATTTTAACGCAAAAATTTTGCCTCGACTAGCACTAAAAAATCCGACCAACGCTATTCGTTCCGTTCGAGACGCGTCCACTTTGGCCTAAGCGCGCCTCACTTGTCCCATAGGTGCCAGTGTTTACAAGCCAACCAGCCACCATGGTCGCTTCCAAACATACAGTTGGAACATTTCATATTATCACAACCTTTGTAGTGATTGCACCTGCAAAATAAGTCACCATGGGCCCCAAGAAAGCTTCTAGTGCCAACCCTACAGCAAAAAGGGTGAGAATTACTATGGAGATGAAGAAAGAGATCATTGCTAAGTATGAAAGTGGAGTGCTTGTCTCAGAGCTGGTCAGGTTGTATAGTAAACCCCATCGCTACTATTGTGGGCAAGAAAACGGCAATCAAGGAAGCTGTTCTTGCCAAAGGTGCAACTATGTTTTCGAAACTGAGATCACAAGTGATAGATGATGTTGAGAGACTCTTATTGGTGTGGATAAACAAAAAACAGATAGCAGGAGATAGCATCTCTCAAGCAATCATATGTGAAAAGGCTAGGAAGCTGCATGACGATTTAATTAAAATAATGCCAGCAACTAGTGGTGATGTGAGTGAATTTAAGGCCAGCAAAGGTTGGTTTGAGAGATTTAAGAAGCGTAGTGGCATTCATAGTGTGATAAGGCATGGTGAGGCTGCCAGTTCGGACCACAAAGCAGCTGAAAAATATGTGCAGGAATTCAAGGAGTACATAGACAGTGAAGGACTGAAACCTGAATAAGTGTTTAATTGTGACAAAACAGGCCTGATTTGGAAGAAAATGCCAAGCAGGACATACATTACTCAGGAGGAAAAGGCACTCCCAGGACATAAACCTATGAAAGACAGGCTTACTCTGTTGATGTGTGCCAATGCTAGTGGTGATTGCAAAGTGAAGCCTTTATTGGTGTATCACTCTGAAACTCCCAGAGTGTTCAGGAAAAACAATGTCCTCAAGGCTAATTTGTGTGTGCTGTGGAGGGCAAACAGTAAGGCATGGGTCACTAGGGACTTTTTCTATGACTGGTTACACCATGCATTTTCCCCCAATGTGAAAAATTACCTAATTGAAAAGAAATTAGACCTTAAGTGCCTCCTGGTATTAGACAATGCTCCTGGTCATCCTTCAGACTTGGCAGAGCGACTTTATAGGGACATGAGCTTCATTAAGGTGAAGTTTTTGCCTCCTAATACCACTCCTCTCCTGCAGCCCATGGATCAGCAGGTCATTTCCAACTTCAAGAAACTGTACACAAAAGCTATGTTTGAAAGGTGCTTTGTAGTGACCTCAGAAACTCAACTAACTCTAAGAGAGTTTAGGAAAGATCTCTTTACCATCCTCAATTGTGTAAACATTATAGGTAAGGCTTGGTAGGAAGTGACTAAGAGGACCTTGAACTCTGCTTGGAAAAAACTGTGGCCAGAATGTGTAGACAAAAGGGATTTTGAAGGGTTTGAGGCTAACCCTGAGAATCCTATGCCAGTTGAGGAATCCATTGTGGCATTGGGGAAGTCCTTGGGGTTGGAGGTTAGTGGGGAGGATGTGGAAGAGTTGGTGGAGGAGGACAATGAAGAACTAACCACTGATGAGCTGCTAGATCATCTTCATCAGCATGAGGCCACACCTGAGGAAACTGCTTCGGAGGAGGGGATAGAGAAATTGAAGAAGTTGCCTACTTCTAAGATTAAGGAAATCTGTGCAATGTGGCTTAAAGTGCAAACCTTTATGGATGGAAATCACCCTGACACAGCTACTGCAAGCTGTGTTGGCAACCTGTACACTGACAATGTTGTGAAACACTTTAGAAGTGTCATAAAGGAACGGGAGGTACAGGCCTCTATGGACAGATATGTTGTGCGACAGAAGTCCAGTGACTCTGAAGCTGGTCCTAGTGGCATTAAAAGAACATGAGAAGTAACCCCGGAAAAAGACTTGTTACCTCAAGTCCTAATGGAAGGGGATTCCCCTTCTAAACACTAAGAAGATCAACACTCTCCCCTCCTCCCATCCCATCAATCATCACCAGATCTTCAATAAAGGTAAGTGTCATGTAACTGTGCATGTCTTCTTCAGTTTGTGTGTATTAAAATTAATATTTCATGTGGTAAAATTTTTTTTTTCAATAATTTGGGGTGTCAGGAATGGATTAATTTGATTTCCATTATTTCTTATGGGGAAAATTAACTCAACTAATGATAATTTCGATTAACGATGAGCTCTCAGGAACGAATTAATATCGCTGGTCGAGGGTCCACTGTATTTGCTATTTTAAACCAAACAAGATCCGAGTTTTGCTTTTCCCATCATGCACCATGTGGGGTAGAATTCGTTTTGTACTGTGCACACTCACCACACAGACCCATTCTCTCATATCTAGGTCAAAATTTACCACTTACAGCATCAGAGTACATACTGTATGATACCAAATAGAACTCTTCTTTACTAAGGGAAGTATCATTGGATTCTCGATTGAATTACTGAATTTATTGGAAAGTGACAAAGAAACTTGGAAGAGAAGGCTTAAAATGTAAAAGGACATAAGGAGCAGGTCCCATAGCTTGATTGCTAGTGCACTCAACTCACACACTGAGGTTTCCAGTATGGGTGGAAACATTAGGATGTATTTCCTCAACCCTTTCAGGGTCCAAAGGCCAAATTTCAAAGGGTACACCAGTGTCCAAGAATTTTCCAAAAATAATTTTGTTATTTTTTTCTTGTGAAATGGTAGAGAATCTTTTTCTGAAGGTAATAAAACAAAAAGTACGAAATTTGATGGAAAATTGACGAAATTATGCTCGCAAAATTTGGTGTGTCAGTGATATTTACGCATCGGCAATTTTGCGGACTTTGACTCCCATTTTAGGCCAATTACATTATTCCAGTTGACCAAATTCTTAGCTATTTCACTAGTATTGCTTCTATTCTATCGATTGAGCACAAGAATTCACCAAGTCAACTGTTTCAACTACAAAATAAAGTGATCAGAAATTGGTAATTTGGCCAATTTAATGCAAAGTTCAAAACACTCCAATTTCAAAATAGGGTCCAGAATAAATAATGCAGGCATTCCTGGCAATAAACTAACATTTCCTCTGTTCATTAGTTACATTTTCAGGCTTTACTAATGAATTCCATTTTGATTTTTTATTCACATAATGAATTTTTATTCAAACCAAAAAATAGAAGATTTACTGTTATGCAATATTGTAATAATTGTATAAATAACATCAGCACATTTGTGGACATATATTAGACCAACACAAATTTAACATTTCTGCTACTTTGAGCCATTTTCAGTAGGAAAACCAATCAAAATCATCTCTATTTCTGTAATATGTCTTCCATTCTATCAAATGAGACCAAGAAATCGCAACTATAACTATAAAAAACATACAAAAAAACACTGCAAAGTCGCTGTTTTAATTGAAAATTAGTCTCAGCTTTTTTTCTCTCTTGCACTGTGTGCTGCAGGATTTGTTTTATATGGTGCACACATACCACATAGATGTATTCTCTCATATCAAGGCCAAAATTTACCTCTCACAGCTTATCATAGTGAGCTGAGCTCATGACGTAGATCTACGGTTTGGACCCTCAACGTAAAGCCGCAGATTTACAGCATGGACCCTCAAGGGGTTAAGACATCTGCTGTCCATGTCCACCTAACAGTAAAATAGGTGCCTGGGTGTTAGTTGGCTGATGTGGGTTACATCCTGGGGACATAATTGACCTAATTTGACCGAAATGCTCTGCATAACCAGGGACTTTCTGTATAGTAGTAAGCCATTGATGGCAGCTATGGTCTGCTATACTCTTGTGTACATACTTGTACTTATAGGAAATAAGATTATATTTATTTTTTTTTTACAACAAACGGACAGCTGTATCCACCAAGGCAGGGTGGCCAACAAAAAAAGAAAAACACAAGTTTCTCTTTTTCATATTTAGTTAATTTAATACAGGGAGAAGGGTTAGTAGCTCCTTGCTCCCGGAAATTTTATAGAAAAAACCTCGCCTCTACAACACGCATGCTTACGGAAAGAAGATTCTGTTCCACTTCCCACATGGAGATAAGAGGAAATAAACAAAATCAAGAACTTGAAAAGGAAATAGCAGAATACCCAGAGGGGTGTGTTAGATTTGCTATGTAATGTAAGTGTAGTGTGACCTAAGTGTAAGTAGAAGTTAGCAAAGACGTACCTGAAATCTTAGGTGATTTATGAAGAGAAAAAAAAACGACACCAGCAATCATACCATCATGTAATACAAATTACAGGCATTTCGTTTTGCCACCGCTTGGCAGGGACGGTCGTACCTCCCTGGGGGTTTTCTGCTTACCAACCATATAACTAGGTATTATTATTATTATTATTATTCTTTCAACACATCCGGCGTATCCACCGCGGCGGGGTGGGCTACAAAGGAAAAACGATAGTTATCTCCTTTTTTCATTTAGTAATATATTACAGGACGACGGGATTAACTAGGCCCCTGCTCCCGGATTTTAGTGATGCTCCTCTTTATGACACGCAATGGAT